CAACAACAAAATATATTGATGCCAAAAACTAACTTATTGCAACCAAAATAATTGTTGCCTTACATTAATATAGTTGTGGCTTATAAAAATTTTCGCAACAAAATTTAGTGTTGCCACAAATTAACTTTCTTACCAACAATATCAATTGTTGTAAAAAATTGACAAAATGTTAGTTAGGAAGGCTTTTTAGCAACAATAATTTTTATTGCAATAAAGCTCACATATTTATTATATACCTTTAGCAACAATTTGTGAGTTGTGGCTACATACATAATACAAATTTTCTTTCTAGAAATTTTATACAAATATTTTCTGCACTTTAGCAACAATTTGTGAATTGCTGCTATATACACAATACACTTTTCGTTTAGATATTTTTCACAAATATTTAGATTAAGAATTATATAAATTTGCAAAGGTCAATATAAGATTGATATTCCAAAGAACTAAACACTTCTACATATGTTTGTACTTGTAAGAAAAATAATAAGCAAGTCATTAATTATATTCTAATCCTACTAGTTATAACTTTTGAATAGTCCGATCTTCCAATAGTACGTGTATTGAAGCAATGGTCAATTATGCATGTTCATCCTGCAATAAAGATAAATATAATTATAATTTGACAAAGTAAGTTATAAAATACACAAATATAAATCTAAAAAGTAGAGATATTCACATGAATGCACTCACAAATACACCCACACACACTTTAATCTCCTAATAAATCTCCTTACTCTCCTGATAAATCACCTTATTTCATTTGAAAATGACCAAAATCAGAGACGCTCTTTAAATTATGTACAGAAGAGAGACTGAGATGTTCCAGATTTGGTAAAGGATCATCAAACTTTGTGGATTATTAAAGCTGTTTTGAGATTTTCTTTTCCACAACTGGATGTAGATTTGAGTTGGCTCAAACTTTACGACGTCATTGAACTCCTCAAACCAGTCCCTCTTTGGAAACAAGTCCACTGGATCAAACCAGTCATAGGTATGAACAAGTTAAATACAGATGGAAGTTTCATTCATTCAACCGAAAAGGCAGGCATTGGGGGAATTCTTAGAGATGAAGAAGGAGACATCATTTTTGCTTTCTCTATACCTGTTCAGAGTAATAGCAGCAATATGGCAGAAGCGTTGGCCGCTAAATTTGGCTTAGACCGGTGCATTCAACATGGAGTACATAATATTTCTTTGGAATTGGACTCAATGTTGATCACTAATCTCATAAAGCAAGGTCACTCTAGCAATATCTTTCTGAAGCCTATTATAGATGACATCAAGGAGATGGTGAAGGATGCAAATATTGAAGTGTCACTGTTATAGAGAATCAAATCAGGTCGCAGATGGTTTATCAAAGTTCGCAACTACATTAAACGAGCCTAAATTCATCAATCAATACCACGATTTGCCCCAAGATTCTAAGGGCCTTATCACCTTGACAAATGGCAAATGCCGAGTTTCAGGATACGTTATGACAAAGAAAATTTCTTCGTCAACTAATCTCAATGCTCCTTTTTCTTTCATGGGAGAATATTTTTGTTATGCATATGGTAGAAGAGCATTCGCTCTTAGAATCTCCCAGTTTTTTGTATATCACACATTGTGTGTTGTGGAGGTAAGGCTCACATCCCCCTCCATTTATGTACTTGCTTTTTAAGTTATAAATATTTTCCCCTTGAAAAAAAAACCAAATCCTTAGCCGATAGTACTCTCCAAATCAGATGCAGACATATTTAATAACCTCAGATTTGTCAATTTATGCATTCCTATCGGCAGACAACGTAACCGTGTATTATCACAATCAAGCAATTGCAAATTACAAAGATTACCAATATCTGGCAACTCTTTCAACTCATTGCAATTTTGTAGTATTAGAGATCGTAGTTGACATAAACTATTGATGGAAGAAGGCAGTGCTCTAATACCAGTATGACTCAGATTCACAACTCTTAGAGACTGGAAATGCGAAACAAGAGATATTTAAGGCAACATACCTCACTTGATTTCTTCTCCAGCTCTACAATTTTTTCCTCAAGTGATGATTTTTCACTCAAAAGCCTCTTTTTTGTTTCTTCTGCGGTACGGAAAATAGAACGAGCTTTCAGCTCTTCATGGATCTTTTCAAAAACCTGCAATTAGTGATGTCACATGAGTGAAATCCAGACAAGTTCACATGTCAGTCTACGTATTCGGACTTGAAAAGTATACAGAGATTAACTTGAGGTCTCATTATTTTTTTAATTCAGTAAATTAATGTTAACATTTGTACATAAGCTGTCATGCACCCCTACTCATTTGGATTGAGTACAGCTGTTGAAATGTACATAACATCTTGAAGGAGAAAAGCTACTAATACAAATAAAAGGTTCATCCACTCTGATTGTGCACATAAACAGATGCAAGAAAAGCAACTCTGTCCACAATTTCCTTGGTCTAATTCTTGGATATCGTCATCAATCCCAACCCCGCTGTGAGCTTACTGACCCATATAATATTGACCACAGCGAGATATATTCCACAAACAGCATATTGTGGTGAACTCAGGAATCTAGTTGTGTTCTATTAAGTACAGTTGAAACTTGAGATGAAGGATTAAAGGTTCCTGATGTGAAAGATTGGCTAAAGTATTTTTTTGGTGAAGTGAAAGATTGGCTAAAGTATTGATGTACAGTACATGTTATTGGTAAAAAGAAACATGTGTAAATAGATGCACTAGTGAATGCTCACAGGAATATTGATTTTTTCATGAAGGGCATTCCCTACCTTGTGCTGTCAGATAATACAACATGATGCCAATGAGATCCAATAGTTCTTGAAGGAGAAGAAGGATCTACACTATGCAATTGCAAATGAATTTGGAGGTTTTCACCTAGATTACACATGACACTGCACTTGTAGATGATTGGATGAAGTGTGTAAAAACAATCTTTTCTCTGTAAAACTAGTGTACCTGATTATTTGCATCAACCAACTCTTTCGGAATAGTTTTCTTCGAACCTTGAGAACTCAACTTTGGAATCCGCAGTTCTAAGCTTCGCTTCTCTGTTAGGGCAGCCTATAAATTAAAGAATGGAGTAATAAAATGAATGATTGTCCCCTTAATAAATCAAATTTAATCACATTGAAAAAATACCTTAAGCTCTGCATCTTTTTCATTGCACAACGAACTGAATTTATCACAATCATAAATAGCCATTTCTAAGTTTTGCTTCTCAAAAGTCAAGATATCTTTCAAGTTATCCAATTCTTTTTGCATCTGTGATTCTTGGTTTTGCTTTCCATGTAAATCTTCCTGCAACTAAAATACGTTTATTACATATTGTGTTTGTCTGTTGTAACTAAAATGATAGATGGATATGCATAGAGATACAACTGACACAAGGAGATGAAAAATCTATTCAAAGAATAATATAGCAAGTCATCTATGTTAACATAAAAGAATAATCTCTATTTTCATCTAATTACCAGCAACATATACTTGTAAATAAAAACCAAATTTCAGTAACATATACTATCTTCATCTAATTACCAGATGTGATGCTTCAACAAACTTACAACATATGTTCTGTAATTAAATAGCAATACCCGACAATAGAGCTAGTTCAACATGTAATAATAATAGTAATGCCTATCAGATGTTTTCAATAGAAGACACTACAGAATCCCTTATATATGTAGGTTACACGAATTACTAGCCCAAACATTAGTAGTGACCTTTACTAAAAAGTGAATTAATTTAAAAAAAAATTACTTACCCAATTGTTATTCATTAGACTTGCAGAACTTGTCACATTTGAACTAGTTGAAGTCGTAATGGTATTGAAAATTGAAGCAGGAAGGCCAGTCTGTTAAATATGGCACAAATTAATAACTTAGTATGTCGATAAAAGAAGAATAGACCGAGGAAAAGGGGAAGATGTATAGTGAGAGTGAAAAAAATTTAAGTTGTAATGTAGCATCTACTAATTTAGCGATGTATACTATAACAAATACCTTGGGATTCTGCAAATGAGATACTAGCGCCATCATGCTCTCTTTTAACAATTTTTGGTCATGCACTAAACGAACTTCCATTACTTCTCGGTTTTCGCTCCTCTTCAAGTTGATTCTTAACTTCCATTAGCTTGCTTTCTACACTCTCTCGTTTACGGCGTTCTTCTTCTGCTTCCTTTTGTTGTGCTTGAAGTTGTTCTTGAATTTCATTTCTAGATATTCTACTTGCTGACTTAATTCCAGATCCTTGACCAAGAATGTACTTTGATTTTCCTCCCATTATTTGCACAAATGCAGCATTAATAATAGGATCCACATCGATACCTTCTTCAATTTCTTGAATTTTTTCAGCAACATCTTTCACTTTATTCTACAAAAAAAGGTTATACTAGCTTTAACTCTCCATATTTATTCAAATAAACTCATTCTATGAATAAAGGTGAAAAAAAATATGTACATCACTTCAGCAAAAGCATTAGTAACCCATTGCCCATTTGGCTTCATGTGTGTTATTTCCCAAAGTTTTTGAAAATTCGGCTATTTTCCAGTGGTTGTGTCCCTCTATCAAAACAAGTGAAATTATGTTATTATTGAAATTGTAACAATAATCGATCAAAAGAAAGACATATATCTCACCACTTCATAAGACACTGCTTGAAAAGTTTTTCCACCGCAAATATGATTCACTTCTTGTTTTGCCTTGTTATTTTTGTTTCTTTCACTCATTTTCTGCATTGATTTTGAGTGTGGAAATTTATTTTGATCTATGTATATAATAAGTCAAAAAAGAAAACAGATAATATAAAAGGTTAAATTTGTCACTTTTAAATACCATAAAATCATCAGAGCTGAAGTAGTCTACCAAGAATTTCCATTCAGCTTCATTAACATCTGTTGGTATGTTTTGCAGACTCTCCTCTTTTGTAGCAAATTTCTTGAAATGGTCATGATGTCTACTTCGACGATATCGATACAAATTTTTTGTTGTTTGAAGAATGGTATCCCGATTGTGTTGTATGTCCGGAAGCTGAAAGGTGTCCTGCAATCAAAATAGTATAAATAATTAAGCTAAATAAAATGTGTCTTAGTTCCCAACTCCACTGTAGTTCTCAAAAGTTAAACATCTGCTATATCAAATTTCTCGCTCAAATCTTTTCATAAATAAGTTAACATAGTGCATTTGAAGGACTGAAATAATTATATTCAAATAAAGATTAGAGTTGATCAGATAAGACAACCTTATACAATAGTTTCTTAATTTTATATCATACTTAACAATAGACATATAGCAAAAGCTATAAGCTCTTTGATTCTCCTTGATCATTGTTTGGGTTCAGCACATACTAGAACAACATTAGTGGAATGACCCTCAAGACTATTTTGGTGTTTTGGCATGCTTTTGCTGTTTTGCCCCTTCCCGTAGTTCATTTATAGCTTTTATATGGTGTTGGGCTGTATGGCATGCTTTTCGAAGTGTTCGGTTGAGTTTGGTGCAAGTTTTTGAGTTTTGGAGGTTTACTGCCTGAAAGTTGACTTCAGTCAACATTCAGAGATTTTGACGTCTGATCGGAATTCTGTCAAGTCCATCAGCTTCAAAAGGGTCATTTTGGTCTAGTGTAATGATCAGTTCGGATTTTGAGGCTTTTATTTGGAGTTAGTGTATTTAGGCGTTTTAGCTTTGGAGTTTTACCAAAAAATTTCCTTCTGCCAGCTTTCTTAGTAAACACGCGCAGAATGGAATTCTGTTAGTGTGGTTAGCTCTGGAACGCCGAATTTCGTCTAGAACGACCTTTGATTCGGTTCCCAAGAAAGCTAGGATGATTTTGTGGCATTTAGCAGTTTGTTTGGTAATTCTTTATAAGTATTGACTTTGGGTCGTTGCTGGTGCAACACTGAATGCAGGAGGTCACAATCTCAGACCTCCACGCTAACTGAGGCAACACACCCAAACTCATAGAAGTCAATGACTATTTTGTTTCAGTTTTACTTGTAGAATGAGAAATCATTAACTAGTCACCAGTCGCACTTCAAAGATGCAGAAAAGTACTATAAAATGTTGTTAACAAGGCTGTCTCATGGACATGGGTGTCTGAAATGAGTTGGTGTTGTTCTTTTGGCTATGGCCGTGGGAGGTGCTATCGTGTCACAGATTAGGAGGGTTGAGATTTGAACAAGTTTCCATTTTTTTTGTAATGCCCCAGAGTTCCTCCAAGTAATCTGCACCAGATGAACTTGACATGGAGTGTTCTTTTTTAACAGTTAATGGTCTCAGCAGCAACTGAAACAGGTAGCTTAGAAGTAACTTTAGAGAAACAGGTAGCTACTGAACAAGAATTTGGAGATTTAGTTGAACATCCTCTGTTGATATCTGACTTATAAGAAGTAGTAGTACAGATTTTTTTTCATGCCATCATGATTCCTGAGTTCATTTACAGGATGTGGAAGTTTCGGGTGCCCGTAGATGAGGTACTGCAACACATGGGGATCAACATTGCATCTAGATGTTGGTGTTGTACTTAACCTAAACCAGAGACTGTCTCATATTTTTCTAACCTCCTATTCAGCTGCAAAGCTATGGAGATTGTTTGCTAATGTTGCAGGTATTCCACTAGAAGGGTTGCAGCTTTCACAAGTAGTTATCAAATGGTGGACATGTGATTGTTGTCCAATTTTTGAAACCACTCATGAGGGCTTTACCAACTATCATTATTGGAACTTATGGAAGAGAAGAAACAACCTTAAACATGGCAAGACAGCATCATTTAACATTTAGTTTTTTTTAAGGTAAATTCAGACCTGTGGAAATTGGGAAAACTTATTCACCCGAAGTTGCAAGATCTACCTACAGGTTCGCCTAATATAGTGACTTTTCTAGAGAGAACTGATCTAGAAGCGGAAGCCATTGCAATTAGGGAGGCCTTAGCTCACTATGCTACATAAGGAGTAACCCAAGTTTGTGTAGAAACAGATTCACTAGTCTTACAGAGAACTCTATGGCAGGCTTGTCTATAATTTATTCTGACAATAAGGATGATTTATCTCCAAGAACCTACGATGACCCATATAGCATTGCTTTCGACCATGTTTCAAGTAAGCAGAACAAGTATGCACATGACAAACTGGACAAGCTAATTTACTTTTAGTGCTCCAACCATATAAAATACCATAAGCAGGAAAATCATTGATTGTCCACAACAAAGAAGCATGTAATTGAAAATTTTGTTTCATAAAAGCATCATAAGTCTCAATTCCATCCCCCCATAAGATTTTCAAATCATCAATCAAAGGTTGGAGATACACATCAATATCCATACCAGGACCTTTTGGTCCAGGAATAAGTAAAGACAACAAAAGATTAGATTGTTTCATGCATAGCCATGGGGGGAGATTATATGGAATCAAGATAACTGGCCACATGCTATATGAATTACTCATTGAACCAAAAGGATTAAAACCATCTGAAGCAAGTCCAAGTCCTACACTACGAGGATCTGAAGCAAAATTTGGATATTTTTCATCAAAAACTTTTTCCATGCCAATGAGTCAGCAGGATGTCGTAACACTCCATCATCAACTCGTTCATCCTTATGCCACCTCATTTCTTTTGCGGTTCCTTTTATCATAAACAATCGTTGTAATCTAGGTATAATAGGAAAGTATCTAAGAATCTTTCTAGAAATTCCTTTCTTTTTGTTATTCAAATTACCTGAAGCAACCTCACTATTGGCATCTTTTCCTTTTCTCACTGTCCATCTTTTTTCACCACATTTAGGGCATTGTTCAAGATCCACGTATTCCTTTCTATATAAGATACAATTATTAAAGCATGCATCTATCTTCGCATAATCTAAACCCAAATCTTTTATTATCTTTTGAACTTCATAAATAGAATCTAGGAGCACATTTTCTTTAGGTAAAGCATCACTAAGTAATTTCAACAAAGAGTCAAATGAAGTATTACTCCATCCATGCATACACTTAATTTGAAAAAGACGCACTATAAAAGAGAGTTTGGAGAACTTTTCACAACCCGGATACAATCGATTTTCTGCATCCTTCATTAACTTATAGAATCTCTTAGCTTCTGTATTAGGCTCTTCGTGCGGTGACTCAGTTGTCTCATCAAGGTCATAACTATTATTGGGAACACCATGATATATATCATGCAACATTTCAAAAACTTCAGCATCATCTTTTTCTAAATTTGAATCTTCACTAATATTTGTTTCATCATCTAAAGATAGATCTAGCTCACCATGATGAATCCACTTTTTATAAGTTTGATTCATTCCAAACCTACATAAATCTGTTCTCACTTCATCTTGCGTTTTCCAAAGAACATTATTGCATTTTATGCACGGACATTGAATTCTTACACCAACCTCAATATTAGAAAATGCAAAATTCAAAAATTGCTCCACACCATTTAAATATTGTGGAAATGCTCTATTTCCAATCGTATCCAACTTTTATCCATTATATACTTGCCTACAACAATTTTAAATCAATTAATATAAAGTTATATGATTTTTTAATCAAAAAAATAAAGAAAGAAAATGTTAGAGAAAAGCTTCATATTATAAAAGGTCAATATAAAAACCAGAAAGTGCTTGTAAGACCAGTAATTCTTTTTGTATATCTACATCTACGAACATCTTCAGAAATCATTCATATATCTACAACCTCATACAAAAGAGTATAAAATAGATAAGATTAGAATAGCTAAACAATTTAAATTCAAATCTACATGTGATATTTCAATATCAATATAAGCAACTTTAAAAAAATGGCTTAATAAAGGAGTGGTGCAACTATGAAATTATAGGAGTTAGAAATACATCTCTCCATATTGTCCGAGATGTTGCAATTCCATAGTACTAGGACATATCACGTGTATCTTTACCATGTAGCAGGAAATAACATGTAAGAAAGTATGCTAAAGATAGCTATGCAGGCAAGTTATATGTCATCTTAAGTGAGAATATAACAAGTTCATAGGCACCAATGGCAACAATTTGGTCAGCCGTATCTTCAGACAAGCATACACATGACCAGACTGTATTACATCAACATTACTTCAAAATGTAAGGAAGAACTGAAATAAAGAGTAAATTGTGATCACACCTGTTTACCACTGGAAACAGGTCGTAGTATTGCTCCAGCACCTACAACCTTAGCTTTAGCCGTGGCAATAGATGGAGGACGTGACCCTGCAGAACAATAAACCATGCTAAGAATATTAGTATAATTAATCTAAATTCTTAGATTATTCAACCAAGCAAATGTTGTCATCTACGAGAGAAAAGAATTTTCCTCTTGAGAGACCATACCTTAAAACTAATGAGGTGTTAGAAGAAAAGATGCAATTTAGTACGAGGAACAAGCATTCAGATGCTATTAAGAAAATTATACATATAGTAGCAACACAATGTATCATAATACTCAACGGAACTGCAGAATCCCTTTGACCTTATGGACGAATCTATGTTTTGTACTCTACATGCAGATCAATTTAACATTCCCCTGCTTCTGAAATATGTTTTCCTTTGGAAAAAGGTTGAAATAAACTCAATTTCAAGAATGGAAAGGATATTACATTAACTATAAGTTGATGAAGAAGAAAGTAAAGAACTATCCGCAGCAGATTGAAGTTTCTGAACAAAGTCATGAGTATGTTCTCAAGGACTTCTCAAGGATTCTAGATAAACAGATTGAAAACATTGTCTTATTCCTGTTGGAGAAACAAGGGAACTGGCAAGCAGGTTATTTATTCTTGGACAAGAGCATGATGTCCTAGTACAGCAACAAGATGGTTCAAAATTATCTGAACTTCAACAGTCATATAGAGATGTAGGCAGAGAGCTGCTGCAGCTTCTCTTTTTCGTTAAAACGAATGCCATCGGTGTGCGCAAGATACTGAAAAAGTTTTACAAGAGATGTGGTTATAAATTCACCAATTACTATGTCAAGACTCGAGCAAATCATCCTTATTCCCACCTGAGACAAATATTTCAGCATGTGGGCGTTTCAGCTGTAGTTGGAACCATATCTCGCAATCTTGCGGATCTCCAAGACAACAAGGTGAACTTTACTTCGATATATGATCACCCGGGTCTGCCTTTTCAGGACCCGATCATTGGTTCTATTAATCAAGCAATGGATAGACTAACAAATTCAACTGATTCCCTTCACTATTTGGGGAAACATGCATCTATTTTACCAAAAGAACTACCAACTCCTTCTGAGGATCATGCTGCCAATGAGAGATATCACTTGATGTCACTTCTGCTGAACTTGGCAAATGCATTCTTGTATATGGTTAACAACATAATAGTCCCAACAGCAGATGACTACTCTATGAGTTTTGGAGCTGTAGCAACTCTTTGTGGGGCTGTAATTGGCCGGTCTATGGCTGTTGTTCAGGTGTTCTGTTAAGTGTATTTCAGTGCATGGTCAAATAAATCCTACATGAAGCCTACTTTGTTCAGCAGCATTGTCCTTCTTGTTGGGAATACCTTATATGGACTGGCTTATGACTTCAACTCGATATACTTACTTCTAGCTGGATGTCTATTTTGTGGGCTTGGTTCGGCAAGGGTAGTTAATAGGCATTATATCACTGATTGTGTTCCTCTGCATTTGCGAATGAAGGTTTCAGCTGGTTTGGTAAGTGCAAGTGCACTTGGAATGGCATGTGGTCCAGATGTTGCCTGCTTGTTTCAAACTAACTTTAAGTTCCTGAATATCACTTTTAACCAAGACACTTTACCAGGATGGATAATGGCTCTTGCATGGTTTGTTACCGGTTATGCTTGTGGACTACCTTTAGAGAACCTCCAATGCTGGAAATAGAGGATGTTCCGCTACCAAAATCCAATAGTTGGAAGATTGAAAATGGCTTAGTGCAGAAAGGTATTACCCAGCCATTGCTTTTAAGTGCAGAAGAGACAAAACCAGACGAAGATGACGACCAAGATTGCGATAATAGTGAAAAATCTGCAGAGGAGATCCATAAACATGTTACTTCCATCGTCTCTGTGTATAAGTTTCTTACCCCATCAGTGAAGGTTCAACTGCTTATATACTTTATGCTGAAGTACGCGATGGAGATTTTACTTGCTGAATCAAGTGTTTTCATCACGTACTACTTCATATGGTCAACAAGCAATGTGGCCATTTTTCTTGCATGTCTTGGGTTGACTGTCCTTCCAGTGAACATTCTTGTTGGAAGCTAACTCAGAAACATTTTTGAGGAAAGACAAGTTTTTCTTGCATCAGAAATCCTAAAACATTTATATTTTATTTTATTTGCTATCATGAGCTTAAGTTTTTTAACAGACCACTAAAACAGTCCATATAGAAATCAGAAAAGTCCTCAGAAGTAAAGGCCCTAAGAAAGTGAAACTGGTCTACTTCACATCACTAGAATAAATTTGGTCTTGAGGGTAGAACAAGTCAACCCTCAACAACTTAAAATATTGTCATATTAGTCAGTATATTAGTGACAGAAATCCAACCTTGCAAGCTAGACCACTGAAACATTATATTATAATTCATAGGAGATAAACCAGTTTCATAGGGAGCAGATCAAGTTCATCAATTAAATAAGTTCACATTGTACATCTACGTACTTCTTGTTTTCGTGAAGCTGTGAGGTGACACTGTGTTCCTTTGACAGAGCGTACAAGAATGTGATGGCAAGAAAGACCATTCAAGGTGAAAGCAAAAGATATGTTGGGATAAAAAATAATGCAATAACCACCACACACATTAACGGAAGCACTAAACCTTCTAACTAAAATCTCACAAGTCTGATGACAGGAACCCTTGCTACAATACTATGTTAATGATCCTAAATGTGAAATAACTAATAACTTCTATCCAATACTACGTTTTAGGTGTGCTTGGGAATAGTTCTCAGTTTCCATGTCGTAATTCCTTATTCCGTACCACAATATGTATGTTCATGCTCTAATCACATTTGTAGCTACTGAAGTACTGGAAGGCGTTAACCTTAACCTTCTATATCGGGTTATGTCTTCAAGGATTTCTAAAGAAACCTATAATGGTGGACTACTTTCAACAGAAGCTGGAACTTTAGCTCGAGTATTTGCAGATCGTAGCTACATGTCTCCAGAGTCAGCTACGATTCGATGCTCAGTTCTATGTAATATTTTTACCCAAATCGTAGCTCAGTTATATGCACTTCTTGAATGGATGCAGTATTGGAAATCTGCAGACATGTAGCTGTTGTTTCGCAATATCGCAAGTCCTTATTCCACAGTGCACTCCCTACCGTTGAAAGTGCTATTGGCAATCCCTTGCATTCCACAACAATTTTCTTCCCTATCTCTTCAAAACAAGATAATTTATACTGGAAAGTATCAAAAATAAAAGGCAATTAAAATTTGACAATTGAAAGTATCTGAAGCTCTTCCTTTACCAACTTTACCACCTGACTTCATCTTCCTTATTTTATAAAGAAATTACCAAGGCAAATTATTAGAAGAAAAATCTGAATTGCAATCTCTCATCTAATTCATGAATAACACATGATAATAATTTATACAATCCCATTCCAGTAATCTCACCAAAGAGACTAAATCAAAAGAAATTGAACTTTAACAAATCAATTGAAATTTTACAAAATAACCTAGGAGACTAAATCATAAGATAATCATACGCAAGAATTCACCGAACTTTGTGAAAAGAAACTAAATCATAAAGAAAACTCACCAGAGATGGACTTCAAGAACAACCTTCTTCTTCAGTGAAAAATTGAACGAGAAAACCAAGTTTCAGTTTTCCCCAAAAATGAAGAGGCGCAACTTGTGGCAAAGGAAAATAAAAATTGGTGAACTTCTACAATTTTTTTTGGCGGAAACAAAAAAAAAACCGCGATTCTATTGGCGGAAAACTAAAAAAAATCTATTTTTTGCCACAATGTATACAATACCGTCAAATTAAATATATTAGCAACAATAAGAAAATTATTGTTGTCAAATATTTTTTAGGAAAAATTGTATATAATAGCAAATTATTAATTCAAATTAAATACTATAAATATAGTTTGATTTAATTGTACCTCATAGCAAATTGTTGTTATTTCACCTCTCTCCTGGTGAATCTCGCTCGTCACTCTCGTTCTCTCCCTCGCTTCTCTCATTTTTTATACAAACGCAAGTGTATAAAGTGTATTTGTGTTTGTATAAAGCGAGAGAAAATTGTATATATACATATATTTTTGTTCCTCTCTCTCCCCTCTCCCAGATCTCGCTCGCCACTCTCCCAAATCTCGCTCTCTCACTCGTCTCTCTCACTTTATCTAAAAAACGCAAATGGTATAAAATGCATTTGTATTTGTATAAAGCGAGAGAAAATTGTATATATACATATATTTTCGTTCCTCTCTCTCCCTCTCTCACTTTATACAAAAACGCAAATGTATAAAATGCGTGAAAATTGTATATATACATATATTTTTTGTTCCCCCTCTCTCCCCTCTCCCAGATCTCGCTCGCCACTCTCCCAGATCTCGCTCGCTCACTCGCCTCTCTCACTTTATACAATTGATCTTTTTGTATATGTATACCAAAGCAGATTATACAAATGTTTTTTTTGTAGATGTATAGCGAATTATACATATATATGTTTGCTATGGAGCGCAATTATGCAAACTTTGCTATAGCATACAAATATGAATTTTGTGTTTGCTATATATGAAAGTTGCTCTATTTTTTAAGATAGCAACAAATTAATTAAATTGTTGCCATTACTTAAGTTGGCAACAATATCATCATTGTTGCAAAGACGTTGTTGCAATTTTCTAATAATTGAAACTTATTATATTAACTAGTAAACACATCCGCATTTCGCGCGGATCTCATTAGATTTATGAATAATTTTTTAAAAAATATTTTGAGTCAAATATTATTACCATTGAACCCAAGAAATTATATTTCAACTTATAATCCACTACCTATGCTTTTAGTACTTTAAATATAGTTGATTTCGTATAATCTATTTGATATGTTATCTTTAAAAATGTGTAAGGAAAGAAAAATAATTTCAAGAAAATTTGATTTCTGTTTGTGCGTCTTCAATAAATTCTAAATTATATTTTTAGGACAGAGTTATATTTCACGGTATTCATAAAAAATTATGAAAAAAGTTACTCTAAATAAATAGATAAACAATAATTTAATAAAATTCAGAATTTACATTCTCTAACTTTTTAAACACGTCATATATATATATATATTACTAAAATTCCTAGAGTGGAAATATATCACTAATATCAAGTCATGTTTACCATATTATTTTATCTAAAAAGTCTACATCTTTTAAAATTTGTTGCTTGTAAAATAATAAACGGTAGATTTTTATTTTGGTGAAAATCATCTCCA